CAGAGACCCCTCTCAAATCTTGGAGTTAAGGATGGGGGCTTTGCCCTATCCGGTTTGGCTCAGTGGATAGAGCATCGACCTGAGGACTGGAAGGGTCTTGGGTTCGATTCCAGCCAAGGGCACATGCCTGGGTTATGGGCTTGATCCTCAGTCGGGGGAGTGCAGAAGGCAGCTGATCAATGATTCTCTGTCATCATTAATGTTTCTCTCCCTCTCCCTCTCCCTCTCTGAAATCAATTAAAAATATATATATATATGGAGTGCCTTGCCCTTGAGCCCTCAACCTAGTCATGTACCCTGATTAGAAATCAACCAGCACCTCTTGGTGCATGGGATGATGCCCAACCAACTGAACTACACAAGTCAGGACTTCCTTCCTTTCTTTCTTTCTTTCTTTCTTTCTTTCTTTCTTTCTTTCTTTCTTTCTTTTTTTAAAGATATCTCTGGAATTATTTTCAAAAAAAAATTTTTTTTATTAGTTTCAGAGAGGAAGGGAGAGGGAAAGAGAGATGGAAAAATCAATGATGAGAGAGAATCATTGATCAGCTTCCTCCTGTACACCCCCTACTGGGGATTGAACCCTCAACCTGGGCATGTGCCCTTGATTGGAATAGAACCCGGGACCCTTCAGTCCTCAGGCCGATGTTCTATTCACTGAACCAAAGTGGCTAGGGCTGGGGTGATTTTTAAAAATTGATTTTAGAGAGAGAGGAAAGGAGGGGAAAGAGAAACATAAATTTATTGTTCCACTTATTTATGCATTCATTTGCTGATTCTTGTATGTGCCCTGACCAGGTATCAAACCTAAAACCTTGGCATATTGGGACGAACTCTACCCAGCCAGGGCTCCTAAAATTTTCTGTGTCTTCAGCCATTATGTATTATACTTCTTCTCCTGTAGGTTATAATGTGGTCTTTAACCTATTTATCAATGTTATCTTTTTAAATTTGCTAATCCCAATGTTCTGGTCATTTGCAGGTCTCTTTCTATTGACTGATCTTTCTCTTTATTACAGGTCATAGTTTCTTATTTGTTTTTGAGGTCTAATAATTCTATTTTACCTTGGATATTGTATATGATATGTCATAGAAACTGGATCCTGCTCTCTCCCTCTGAAGAATGTTGAGTTTTATTCTTCTTGTGCCCTCCATCCATTTCTATGAGCCCTTCCCCATTCCATTCTGTCTCCACCCACATTGTTCCCAAGTTTTCCAGACAGCACTTCTAAAGAATTTCACTGTAAAGCAAAGCAGAGAGGTAGGCAGTGCTTGAAGGGGGCTGTGTTGTCCATAAAATATTTTGCTTGCTTGTTTGTTTTTAATATGAGACAAATTACATACATTAAACCGAGTGTCTCTAGTGAAGGAGAAAATTAGGAGTGGGGAATGCAGGGTGAGGTGGGAAAATCACTAAGCAAGAAGGGGTCCATATGGTCAGAGATGAAGTGTGCCATGAATTGAAGAGAGGGCAATCCCCAGCACCCTCTTCTCCCCTTCTGCTCCTTATCATGCAGAGCAAACTTCCCAGTTCACAGATTCTTCCATTCCAGGCTGTGGATACTCAAACCTTAATGTTTTTTTCTCTCCTTTACTCCCAAGTGCCTCCCAAGGCAAGAACCGGGAAGCTGGACATGATGAATAAGTTGGTTGTTATGTTTCTCTGAGATCAATGAGGCATCACAGCCTTCTTTAAGAGCACCAGGGGGCCCACGTACAATTTACTCAGGAGATTGAGTGTGAGCCGGAAAGGGACCCTCTCTGCTAATACCTGGCTGCCTTTGGACAGAGGGTTTCAAGTCACTAGAGACTTGAAGGTCAGTCTGTTCACTACCTGTTTCTCCGAAATGTGGGCAGACAGACAGAGTCTGGGACAGTAGTATCTGCTGAACCGCAGCAGTCTGCCTCTTTGCCAGGAAAGTTTCTGTGCAGGGCATGGGTGTCCTGGGACAAAGGGCTACAGAGCTGAGACAATGACCCTGCTGTGTGGCCCCAGCCAGTGGGCCCGAGACGATTCCTGGAGACATTTTTGTTGGGTTACTGCACACCCACAAATAGCTGCTTAAAAGGGAAAAGAACAAAACTTGACAACTGGAGGGTTATTTAGAAAACGCATTTAAAAACTAACAGATACACAGATGCGCCTGCTCCCTCTGGCGATAGACTCCAAATTGTCCTCCTAGCCTCCAGTCTCCCCCACACCAATCCATTCTGCACGCTGTAGCGGGACAGCTCTCCTTAAAGCACAGGTTTCATCTTGTTTCAATGCTCAAGTGCCTTCAGTGGCTTCCTGTTGCCTTTAAAATAGCCAAGCAGCCCAGCCAGCGTGGCTCAGGAGTTGAGCGCTGATTTGGTTCCCAGTCAGGGCACATGTCCGGGTGCAGGCTTGATCCCCAGTGTGTGGCATGCAAAAAGCAGCCGATTCTCTCTCACTATTGATGTTTCTGTCTTTCCTCTCCCTTCCTCTCTGACATCAATTAAAAAATATATTTAAAAAAATAATAGCCAAGCATTGCAGATCCTTCATAAGAGAGCTTCTCTTCTCTTCCCACCCATCCCCCACTGCTCCCTGGGACATCTGCTGCACTGAATCTCTCTCCTGCAGGGCTCTCTTCTTCTTCTTCTTCTTCTTCTTCTTCTTCTTCTTCTTCTTCTTCTTCTTCTTCTTCTTCTTTTCTCATATATTTTATTGATTTTTACAGAGAGGAAGGGAGATAGAGAATTAGAAACATCGATGAGAGAGAGTCATCGATCAGCTGCCTCTTGCACACCCCCTACTGGGGATATGCCCACAACCAAGGTACATGCTCTTGACCGGAATCGAACCCAGGACCTTTCAGTCCCCAAGCCCACGCTCTATCCATTGAGCCAAACCGGTTTCGGCAGGGCTCTCTTCTTTATCTCTCCCTCTGCTCCCACTCATCCCTGAATCAGGTCTACTCAATTTTTGTCACTCTTAAGTTAGATGTTTCTTTTGGGGGCCTTCTTTCCTGCCCACCCACATCTGGGCTGTGCTCAGTGCCCCAAGAGGCGTACATGATACCCTCCTATTACACGATTTTCCTATTTCAAAAATAATGGTTGTTTAATTGTTTCTCTTTCCTGCTACACAACAAATTTTGTGAGATCAGGAAGACAAAGATGTCTGTTCCTACCACTTCTATTCAAAATAGTACTGGAAGTTCTAACCAGAGGCATTAGGCAAAGTTAAAGGAAAAACTAAAATGATCTCTATTTATAGATGGCATGCAAGAAGCAATCAATGAATGCATGAATTGCTGGAGCAATACATTGATGCTTCTCTCTAGCTCTAAAGTCAATGGATAAAATAAAAAAGACTTTTCAGAAAAAAGCACTTAGAGCTAATAAACAATTCAGCAAAGTTGTAGGCTGCAGAATCAATATGTAAAAATCACTAACAAGAAATGAATAGAAAAAAAAATAAAACAAAAAAGTAAAAACCACAACAAAAATCACTAGCAATGAACAACTTAAAAAAAATAAATTAAAAAACAATTATATTTCTAATAGTTTCAAAATGAATAAAGTATTAGGAATAAATTTAACAAAAAGCACACGACTTGTACAATGAAAACTATAGAATTTCATTGAAAAAAATGAAAGAAGAATGATCAGAAGACTTCATACTATTATGATGGCAACTCTCAAAATGATCTACAGGTTCGATGCAATCCCTATCAAAATCTCAGCTCCTTTTATTTATTTATATATATATTTTATTGTTTTTTTATTTTTTATTTTTTTACAGAGAGGAAGAGAGAGGGATAGAGTTAGAAACATTGATGAGAGAGATACATCATTCAGCTGCCTCTTGCACACCCCCTACTGGGGATGTGCCGGCAACCAAGGCACATGCCCTTGACCGGAATCGAACCCAGGACCTATCAGTCCACAGGCCAATGCTCTATCCACTGAGCCAAACCGGTTTTGGCTCATCTCTTTATTTTGGTGAAAATTGACAAGCTAATTCTAAAATTCATGTGGAGATGTAAGGGATCTGGAATAGCTAAAATATTTTGCAAAAGAAAAATAAAAAAGATGGAGGACTGAATAAAGTTGGAGGACTTATGCTTCCAGATTTCAGAACTTACTACATATCAAGACAGTGTGGTATTAGCATAAGAACAGAAATATAGATGATTGAAATAGAATTCAGAGTCCAGAAATAAGTCCTTATATTTATGCAAGGGCTTCTTTGATAAGGATACCAAGACAATTCAATTCAATTTAGCACTATTGACTAAGACTGAATTTACACATATGCCTGGCAGTGTAGCTGCTTAATGATAAACATCATTATTGGTTATTTTGGCTCCATTCTAATGTCTTATACTTCCCTGGATCCCCAAACTTTGGCATCTCGGCACCTCTGGTGGTTAACAGCAGGCCTTCAAATGGTTTTGCTTTTGTAACATTTAACCAAGTTAACTTGTCCCCAAACTGCCAGAACGGCCTGCTGATGGCGACCGGCCTTTGCCATCCTCCTTTCACAGTGAGGTGTTTGTTTGAAAAGGTTTGGGCTTTCCCTCAGGACACGATTTACATTGTCAGGAAAAGGAAGTTTTTAGAAAAGGTCTTTGTCAGCTCTAAAATTAATTGAAATCAACTCAGCAAACATTTGATTTAAAAATTTTTTTTATTTTTAGACATTGTCCTTTAAGCATTTAATATCTATTATTGATTTAGTGGCAGCATCTGCTCAGTTAGGAAAGGCACCTGTCAGAAACAAAATGCACAAACATACTGCAAGGTCCCTGTCACCGGAGACCGCCCCGGAGAGCAGGGACTGTGATTTCATGTGTATAGTAGCACCTCAACCTTTCAGGACTTGTATCAGTTAAAACACCCAAACCCTTTTATTTCCTCCTCCCCACTTCTCTACTTCCCTTCTTCCCTCCATTTCCAAGCTTTCGTTTAGCAAAGGAAACATACCAGCTACTATGGGCGGAAGAGTCTGGTTTTAGAGCTGGAACATAAAAAAAAAAAAAAAGTTTTTAAAGCAGAATACATTTAGGTAACATATTTGGAGCCTGAGTCCTAGAGAAATGGCTTTGCCCTGGTTCCACACCTGCTCCCTGGTCTAAGTGGGGGGGAGGGGGGAAGGGGGATGAAGCAGGAATCATTTGAGCTCTGGTGGGTTTAGAAAGAAGAGTCACCAACTGGCTCTGCCCGGCTTTCGGGTTTGGAAGCCAGACCCCTGGCCTCCACTCAGACACATGGACAAGCCTGGCCCCTTGTTCAGTCCACAAAGGAATCCATGTTCTTTGAGCCAGGATGGTGGAGAAGAGTGTGATCCAACAGAAAGGTGGACTTTGGAGTCAAAGAGACCTGGGTTTGAGTCTATGAGACTTACTAGCTGTGTGACTTTGGACAAGAATTTTTTTTCTCTTTGAGTCTGAGATTCTTATCTTCGAATGAAAAAAGAATACGTCCGAGGTTATGGGGAAAAATAAACCCTATAACATATCTCATAGGAAAGCACCTTGCAATGTGCCTGGTATGTGGTGGATGTCCAAACACAATACAGAGAAAAGGTGTCTGAGGAGGAAGAATTTGCCAGTATTTCTCCAGACACAGTTAAGTGAGCACTTTTGTGGTGGGATGGCATGAGCAGGGTGACCCAGGTGTCAGTCCTCTTACCTCCCTGATCCTCAATTTCTCCTCTAAAGGGATTCTAATCCCATGAGGGAGAGATTCCGAGAATTGAAGGTAAGTGTCAGAGTGTGTCACTTTTGGTAACAGAATAAGGATTGATTACCTTGTTTTCAAGATGCCTTCCATTCTAAGATGCACAATTGATTTTAAAAACAGCTGAGAGAGAGAGAGACAGAACAACTACATTAAGGGACCCATCAATTTTAAGACACATGCTGAGTTCATAATCATTAAAATGTAAAAAAAAAAAAAAAAATGCTCTGCAATTGAAGAAATATCGTAACAGCAGTGCCGGCTCCCATTCATTAAGCATTTGCTGGTGCCAGGCACGATCAGAGCTGCTTTACTGAGACCAGGACTTGCTATTGTAACTCTGTGAGGCAGATTTTATCATTCTCACTTCAAGGTCAAGAAACCAGACAAGGAGAGGTCAAGTCCCTTTCCCAAGGTCACACACCAGGAAGTAGGGTCTTCTTAACTCCAAAATGCTTCCCCCTCTTGGCAGATTGTAGTCGAGGATAAGAAGTCAAAGAGGCCAGCTCTCTACAGAGAAATAAGTTGTGAGCGAGGTACTTTGAAAGTGTCCTGAATAGAATTCTGCAAGGAGACCAGGAAGGGCACAGGTAACACAAACAGAGCTGTAATCTAATCTGTCCAAACACTGGTTCTCCAGTGGATGTGTTAACCCGAGAGCGAGGGTTGTTCAGAATGCAAATCGAGGGGAGCCAAGAAACGAGGCTGAACCTGGGTTAATCTGCCGAGAGCCGAAGGAGGGGCTCTGAGCAGCCACCAGTCTGTTCCAGGCCCATAGAAACAGCAGCAATCGGTAGGTGAGTCCTAGAGTCCTTGATTAATCCTCAAGGTCACCCTGTGCTTTCCAATCTGACTCTTACTAATGATTAGAACCCTTCAGAGAAGAATTCCGTGTTCTCTTCCACCTTTCTTAAAGAGGGAAAGGTGTGCTGACCAATCAATCATCCCGAGCTAGTTAGCGGTCACCTAGTACTGGAATAAGTTACAAATTAATGAGCTGGTTTCCTGGTGAGTTAGTCCAGTTAGTCCCCCTGATTATGGGATTGGATAGTTTGCCCTGCAAAGCTGTGGATATGGCCCTTACTCTGACATGACTCAGATGTGGCACTCTCGGGAGCATGCCCTGACCCCTGACCCCTGACCAGAAAACTCTTGGGCTGTCTGTCTGTCTAGCTATCATTTTTGAGGGGAGAGAGCCAAACCCACATCATTGGATTCCCTTCATAGCTCTACCTCCCCAGATGACAAAAGGGTATTCCACAGCTTTTTGGTAAGGTGGCAGCAGGGACATGGACACAGGACACAGTCAGGGTGGGGAGGGCAGGGCAGGATGGGGTTGGGGGTTGTCTGAAGCTTCAGGGATTGAATGAGATGCCCCTGTTGATCTGACTGGAAGGAACTCGTATTGAAGCTGCCAAAGGAGAAACGTGCTTGTTGGTCTTGACTGGAGAAGGCTCTTCAGACGGTAGCCGAGATAGCACCAGGGTGGGGGTCACCGCGTCTCCATGTGGACGTCAGGAGGGCAGAAGGTCACAGATGCAGGGTGTTGGCTGCTGCTGCTGGTTGGGCCTTGGGCATAAGGGGAGACTGGCTTGGGGCCCTTGGGCTCCAGCTCCCGCCTCGCCCTCATTTTCCTGCAATGAGATACGCACACTTGGTTGAGTCTCTCCGCTCCTGTGCCCAGGGAGTAGGTGCTGTGACTATGGCTCTGGCGAAGAGATTAATGTAGATCATCATTAAATGATGTTGCTTAATTGCCAGCCATCGAATTTCACAGATGGACGGGACCTTAGGTATTAGCTAGTCAGATTCTTTGATTTTTTGTTTAATCTAAATTAGATATTTTATTTAAATTTTTCTTATTAATGAATGAGTCAACTGTCAGATAGGTGCTGTATTAAAGACAAGACAAAGATGTTCCACTTTTGGTAGCATGACTAAAATTTTGCAGCCTCATTATGCTTGCTAATTTTATTGCTAGAAATATTTAGTAACTTTGAACATAATCGAGAAGAGAATATACTTAAAATGCATATCCTTTCATCTCATATGCCATAAAATTCAATAATTAACGACAATCATTCATTCTAATGTCTATGTATTTCATCTTGTTGGCCTGTCATAATTCTTTTTTAAAAATTTCAAATCCTCAGAAAAGTTGTACAAATAGCACAATTAATATTCCAATACCCTTCACCAAACAGTGCACTGGCTGTTAACAATTTGCCAAATTTGTTTTCTCTCTCTCTCTCCCTCCCTCCCCCTCCTCCACTTACATACATACAAGCACATACATATACACAGAATTGTGTGTGATTTCTTAAAATCATGAGCCATTTGTGAATTAATTGCAGACACCATGCCACTTTATCCCTCGGTGGTACTAAGAACAAGGGCATTCCCCAATGTAACCAACAACATAATTATCACACTCGGAGGCTCTTCCATATGAAAGATGATAAAATTGGCGCTGAGAGGTTAAATGACTTGCCTGGTTTTGACGGACCAAACACCACTGTACCCAGGGGTGAGTGGAGTCTTCATCCACCTTACCCGCTAGGAAGGGGCTTAGAGTCCCATCAACGACGGAGAAAAATAAAGGGCAGACACGGGGGTTTGATGCCACTTTCTGGTTTGGGATAGACTCAAATTGTAACACCCCAAAGGTTTTTAAAAATAACTTATTACATATTGTAATTATCATTACTTGCAGTGGTGTAGTATTGTCTTTGAAACGAGAGGGCCTGGGCTGAGTCCCAACTCTGGCGATTAGGGTTGCGTGACCTTGGACATGTTACTTAATCTTCCTGTGCCTGTTTTTTCATGTCTGAACATTTGGGGATAACAGTAGTACCCACCTTGTGGGGTTGTTGTGAAGTGTAAATGACTTAATAATGTAAGAAGCTTAGGACCATGCGTGGCACGTAGAAATTGATGAATATATGTCTATCTACCAATATAAATATTAATTTTATGATGAAAACAATGCATGTTTACTACTCCTCAAAAACAAGGATGCAATGACCCTTAAAACCAACAAAAACCAACAACCAACTAACTACAGCCCTGCTTGTTAACACCTTGTTGTGTCTCACCTGAGCCCTCCTTGAATGTGTGTAATCCAGGTGTCTTATCATCCTGTACATACTGTTTTTTAAACTTTGACAATTGATTTCTTCCTTGAAAAGAATGACCTTCTAGCAAAGTTGTGATTAGAGGTGATGAACACAAATTTTATTCTTCATGCAATCAAGTTCTATTATTTTATTTTATCTTATCTGGTCCCAGAAAGTGGAGTCATGTGTACATGTATTTGTCACCCCAAATATTCATGTGGTTCACCCAGCAGAAGACTACCCAAAAGAAGAGGATTGAAACCTCCCTCTATTACCTGCATGTGTGTGTGTGTGTGTGTTTGCCACCGTGCTCAAGGCCTATGCCATTGTCATGATCACTGTTGTATTTTTAAAATATATCTCCAGTCCTAACTGGTTTGACTCAGTGGATAGAGCATCAGCCTGTTGACTGAAAGTTCACAGGTTCGATTCCAGTCAAGGGCATGTACCTTGGTTGCGGCACATCCCCAGTAAGAGGTGCGCCAGAGGCAGCTGATCGATGTTTCTCTCTCATCGATGTTTCTAACTCTATCTCTCTTCCTTCCTCTCTGTAAAAAAACAATAAAATATATATTTAAAAAATATATATATATATATATCTCCAAGTACAAGAATATTTGGTCACTCTGAAGTTTCTATAGGAGAGCAGATATCAAAAAGGGACCCACAGCCGAATCCAGTTTGGCTCAGTGGATGGAGCATCAGTCTGCAGACTGAAAGGTCCCAGGTTCAATTCTGGTCAAGGGCATGTACCTTGGTTGCGGGCACATCCCCAGTGGGGGGTGTGCAGGAGGGAGCTGATTGATGTTTCTCTCTTATCGATGTTTCTAGCTCTCTATCCCTCTCCTTCCTCTCTGTAAAAAATCAATAAAATATATTTAAAAACAAAAGGGACCCCCAAAAGGCTAGAGGATGAGGATGGACTCATGGATGTTGCTGGGTACGTGACGGGCACCCACACATGTTAGCTCCCATTCATTCTGGCGTCACTGAGGGGACACATACCTGTTGTACACCTTCAGCAAGATCAGAACCACGGTGAAGATGATGATGACCACCACCACGATGGCAGCAACGATGGCTCCAGAACCTACGAGGAGGAGAGGGGAGAGGACAAATGTGGGAACTGAAAGGCAGAGGAGCATTCAGAGCCTGGGAGGGGGCCCCTGGGCCACGGGAAGACAGAGGATGCTGCACCTCACTGCTGGCCCCGGGACAGAGCCACACTGAGCAGCAGCGCACCCCTGCTCACAAGAGGGCGTGGGGGCTATGTCCTCGGCACACCGCCTGCCAGAATTCTGCCTTGGGTCAAGTCCAGCGTGACACGGCTTCAAACCTCTTCTGTAAACAGGCAAGCAAAATACCCTCCCCTCTTTTTTCTTTTTTTAAAACTATCCTTCACCGGAGGGTATTTTTTCCATTGATTTTTAGAGAGTGAAAGGGAGAGAGTGAGGGGGGGGGGAAAGAGAGAGATCCGTTGCCTTCTGCGTGCGCCCCAAATAGGGCTGAGGATTGAACCTGCAATCCAGGCACGTGCCCTTGACCAGGAATCGAACCCAAGACCCATCGGTGCATGGGCTGACACTCTAACCATTGAGCCACGCCGGCCAGGACCTGTCATCTTTTTGATAATATGAAAGTAATATGTAATTTTTGTAGAAAATTTTGAAAATACAAACCAAAAAAGGGAGAGAGGGGATAAAAACCTCATTGCCCCCAAAATCACTGATTTTCTACACATGTATACACATTCACCTTGGCCCAGCGCCTGCCAGCGCCAGAGCCTGCACCTATTCATTACTGAGGGACACGCCACGTGTCCGGAGGCCTGCTTCCTTTGCGGAAGTGAATACCAAGTCACCTGGGATGACTGAAACGGACCCAGCCTTCCCCCAATACAATCAGCTGGTGTTCTGAAGAGTGGCCCTCAGAGGTTTCCTCTTGGGGACCCCTTGTTCCTGCAGATGTCTCCCCTGGGCCAATCCTCCCACCTACATTCATGGACTCCTTTGGGAACTGACGTGTCTGCCTCGCAAAATTAGTATGAAGGTAGTTATACTTCAAGGCGACCCATTTAAGGACATCTTACAAACGATTCAAACCCCCTGACCCCCTAGACCCCAAAACTCCCTAATGAGAATAATAGCAGAAATAATACTACCCATTAGGTACTTAGTGCACACCTAGCTCTTGTCATGGATTATTTCTCCCTTTTTAAAAATTTTTATATTTTACTAATTTTTTTTTTTTTTTTTTTTTTTTTTTTTTTTTTTTTTTTTACAGAGAGGGATAGAGAGATAGAAACATCGATGAGAGAGAATCATTGATCAGCGGCCTCTTGCACACCACCTTCTGGAGATGTGCCTGAAATCAAGATACATGCCCTTGACCAGAATCGAACCTGGGACCCTTCAGTCCGCAGGCCGATGCTCTTGGATTACCTCTCTTAATCCTCACCTGCCTTATGCGGTAACTTCATTAATATCCCATTCATAGGTGAAGAAACAGGCACAGAGCAGTGAAGTCACATGCTCCAGGCCACCTAGTTGGCAAGCAGTGGAACTGAGACAGAGACCCAGGCAGTCTGTCTCCAGAGCCCATGCTCTTGAACTCTAGCCCAGGAGCCGACCTTGACACTTGCCCCGCCATCCCTCCCCAGCTGCCACGCCAAGTTGATCTTACTCTTGTACAGAAAGTCATCCTCTCTGGTGGTCACGTTCAATGAGAAGAAGGTGGTGCCCCCCAAAGGGGTGGGTGTGGTCATCTTGATCCTGGTGAGAATGAAGATGAAATTTTGTTTCAGATCAGAGTAAGCTTTATAAACCCGGTGTGATGCTTCCTTTGGCCTTTACCTGGATGATTGGAGAATATTCAAGCCTTCAGCAAGTCAATACAGGCTCTTTACTATATGCTGAGTGGCCAGATTATGATGATCTCTGAATGCATAATAATCTGGCCACTCAGTGTACTTCTCTTAAGTACCTCATTTATTTGATATCAAAGATACTATAAATTGTGCACCTGCTCAGTTTTTCCCTTTGCAAAAGCTCAGTGGTTGGCAAACTCATTAGTCAACAGAGCCAAATATCAACAGTATGACTGAAATTTCTTTTGAGAGCCGAAAACTGACTTCTGCGCATGGGCCACAAAGTTTCAATCGCACTCTGCGTGCACATGGTATTTTGTGGAAGAGCCACACTTAAGGGGCCAAAGAGCCGCATGTGGCTCACGAGCTGTAGTTTGCCAACCATGGCACTGGGTGACAGAAAGCTCAGGGCAAATAGGTGGTTGATCTCTAGCAAAAGTCTAGAATACTTTTGGTGCCCATTTGAGATGTAAATACACTGAGTGGCCAGATGAATATGCGTTCAGAGATCATAGTAATCTGGTCACTCCGTATATACTTTAGGGAATCAAAAATAATGTCTGATATTTGTAAAGAACTTCATTTTTCAAAGCACTTTCAATCCATTCAACAACATCTATTAAACTCCTCCTGACCAGGTTCACACAGAATGTCTGAATGGCTCTTCAGGAAACTGTGTGAGGGTGGCTATGATTACTGCCATTTGACTGATGGAACTGAAGCCCCCCAACTACCTGGAGCCCTGAGTTTACTCAGCAGAAGTTAACCCGGGACATCTGCCTCCCACACTAGTGGGCTTCTCACCGCCCGCAACAGTGTCTGGAATGATATTCCTGCTTTTAAGTGTTTTATAATCTAAGGAGGCGATGGGGGAAAATTAGCGATGATTATGAAGTAGTCAGTGACATAAGCCATGAGAGGAGATCGGTTCAAATGGGCTGGTGGGTGAGAGGAAGAACAAAGGTGAGGTTGCACAAAGTCCTCCATGGGAAGAGAGAGAATGCATGCTGAGCATTTACTTATCATGCACCAGGCTCTGTCCCAGGTGCCTTCACATACTATATAAGCTCATGTAATCCTCTCATTTTGCAGCTGAGCAAACAGGCTGAGGGGAGTGAATGAACCAGTCACATAGCTAAGAAGATATGGACCCTGGACCAGGAATCGAACTGTGACCTCCTGGTTCAGAGGTCGATGCTCAACCAACTGAGCCACACTGGCCAGGGTATATGTTATTCTTTTTTTAAAAAACACATTTTTATTGATTTCAGAGAGGAAGGGAGAGGGAGAGAGAGATAGAAACATCCATGATGAGAGAGAATCATTGATTGGTTGCCTCCCGTAAGCCTCCCACTGGAATAGAACCTGGGACCTTTCAGTTTGCAGGCTGATGCTCTATCCACTGAGCCAAACCGGCTGGAGCTATATTATTATTTATAATTAAAAAATATTTCTGCCCTGGCCGATGTGGCTCAGTTGGTTGAGTGTCATTCTTTGCACCAAGAGGTTGCTGGTTCAAATATGGTCAGGGCACATGCCCAGGTTGGATGTTGTGGACTCCAGCCCCAGTATGGGGCATGTGGGAGGCAGCAGATCGATGTTTCTCTCTCCCTCTTGCTTACTCTTTCTCTAAAAAAAAAAAAAAAAAAAAAAAACAATTAAAAAAAAACCATTTAAGAATAATAAAGCCCTGGCTGGTGTGGCTCAGTGGATAGAGCGTGGGCCTATGGACTGAAAGGTTACGGGCTCAATTCTGGTCAAGAGCTCATGTCTGGGTGGTAGGCTTGATCCCCAGTAGGGGGAATGCAGGAGGCATTCTCTCTCATCATTGATGTTTCTATCTCTCTCTCCCTGCCCCTTCCTTTCTGAAATCAGCTCGGATTGAACAAAGGTTTACAATAATTTTTCCTTCTGTTCTTTACTTAAAAAAAAAAAAATAGACTCAGTTGAAATCCCTTTTCTATTCTATCTCAATCCTCCCCCCACCTACCTTGGCTAATAGTGTTTATTCTTTTCATCAAAGTTTAAAAAAATGTTTACTACGTATGTCTATGTCCATACACATAGCGTATACCCATGCACAGAGTACAGATCCATAACCCTGGTATATACTGTGAGTCAACATCCTTAGTAAACCAACATGAATGGGGCACCTACGAAGTGACTGATCCTATGCTAGGAGCTGGGAATACATTATGAAATAAAAGACAAACTCCTGCCTCCAGAAGCTCACATTCTATTTTATTTTATTTTGGGGGGAAAGAGAGGCTCACAGTTTAGTGGAGAAAGACTGTAGGTGTGACCACGGCATTCTTGGGCTCAAAAACAATCCTCTCCCCAGAGCCCACACTTGTACATCTGGCAGCAAAAGCCCTGCATGGGCCGTTTTCACTCTCAGCTTCATGCTCTCAGCTGCTCACACCAACCTCTGCCAGAGCTGTGACAATGGGCCTCTCCATCGTCCCCCGTCATTCCTGGGCTTCACTGTCTCTGGGCTGGCAGCCCTGGGCCTTGCCCTCCCCAGGCCCCCGCGGGCATCTCCAGAGAGCCCCACCTCTGGCTGCTTCTCTGCCAGACCCCCCTTCCAACTCCTGATGGAAACACTCCTCCATGGGGGTCAGGCTGGGGCTCCCGCTCAGAAGGACCCTCTGTGGCCAGGCCCTGTGGATCCACAGGACGGACTCTGCCTTCACTTCCTCAGCTCTCCTCCAGGTCTCCGCCTAAAGCCTCCCGGCTCTTGTCTGCGCCTCCTCCCGAAGACCAGATCCTCGGGACGCCCCTCGAGGACTCCCCTTGTGCTCTGCCCCTGACCTTCCCTCCGTGGCCAGCGTTTCCTCCCGGCTGGACTTTCTGAATCCTAACCGTCCCAAACAGGCCCAGGCCGGCCATGCTCCCAAGCCAAAAAGATCACATCCTTCAAGACTCAGCCCAGCCACCCCAGGAGGAGGCCTACCCAACAGAATTGTCCTTCCTGTCCGCTCCCTCCCTCACAGCACCCAGAGGACACACCGCAGCGTGCGTCTCACTCGCAGTGGCTGGCTGTTTAGCTCCCAGGTGCACTGAACGTAGAACCTGCTTCCGGTTCTTTCTCAAACCTTCTACCTGCCCCAGGTAACGTGTCCGGACCCGCTCACCTTGGCCACTGGAAGTCCTTGGGGGAGCACTTGGCCCTCTCCCGGCCTGGTTTGCTCCTCTGTGAAATGAGGTAGCTTTCCCCCAGGGAGCTGAGGAGTGGAGGTTAAGCGTGAAAAGTGCTTTTTCATGTTCTAGTCGCAGGCGTCTTCAAACTACGGCCCGCGGGCCACATGCGGCCTGCAGAGGAGTCTGATCCGGCCCGCCAGGTTTTTTGGGCAGTGAGCGCAGCCGAGGTGTTACAGTAGGAATTAGTAATTCATATAGTCCGGCCCTCCAGCTCTCTGAGGGACCGTGATCTGGCCCCCACTTTAAAAAGTTTGAGGACCCCTGTATCTAGTGGATATTAGGGGATATTTGCTGAACTAAATTACGGGCAGGTGGAACTGGAGCTCAAAACAACAAAACATTCTTTCTATAAACATAAGTGTGGACCACATAAATAAATAAATAAATAGGTAAGTAAGTAAATAAGGACCAATATGAGAACATGGCATGAAAGTCTCCCCTCATCCCAGAATTCTTCCCCCTACTCCTAAGGAGACATACCTGCGCTGCCCGCCTCCCACTGTTCTCCATCCCAGCACATAGCTTTAATATGCATCTGCCTAATCACCCTCTGCTACTATCCCCACCAACACTGAGCTGAGAAGATTCACCAGTAATGCTTTCTCAAAATTCCTTTTAAAAACAGGAAAGAGAGGCCGCTGATCAGGAGTCACTTAGCGAGGGAGGCGCAGAATAGTCACTGGATACGCTAAAGCCTGCCCGCCCGTGCACACGTCCGCCGTTAAACCAGCAAGCACAGGAATGACAGAAGCCACCAATGAGGGCCTGCCACATGGCAAAACCTGGTGGCAGGTGTTTTTAAAGACCCATGCTTTGTTTAATTTGCTAACATATGTAAAACAGGGTTTCCTCTCCCCTTGTTTCAGGTAAGGTCCCCAAGACCTGGGGATAAAGCGAACTGTCCACGCTCACACAGCCTGGAAGCTGGCCCTGCCACTTCAAAGTGTGCATCCTTCCCACTGCACTACCCGGCCCTGGGACCCACTGGAGGGTCCAGGACAAGTCACCACAGAAACATGCTGTGGGGACACACACACACTCTGACCAGGATGCAGCCTCGAAGGCACCAGGACACGGCTCCTGCACACACACACACACACACACACACACACACTCTGACCAGGATGCAGCCTCGAAGGCACCAGGACACGGCTCCTGCACACACACACACACACACACACACACACACACGTGCACACACTGACCAGGGATGCAGCCTCGAAGGCACCAGGACACGGCTCCTCCCGGGATGACCTCTGGGCAGCCTCCCAGCTCCTTCCTGGTGGCCCGGCTGCTCTTCTCTGAGAGCAGTGAGCAGCCTCAGCGTCTCCAGCCTCATCTCGGGCCAGGGCTCTCAATTACATCTCTGTTCCTGCCACACCAGAGAAGGTGGGAGGAGGGTGGTGCACAGCGATGGCCAAGGCTGTGGGTGTTTTCATGTGGGGAGCCCCAGCCAGTCCCGTTAACCAAGTGAGGTCCAGTAGGGGGACTATTGAATCAAATATGCCTGTGCCCAGGGTCTATGGCTATGGAAAAGGGGGCGTAGAGGAGTACGGGGTGGATGATGCTGGTTTCCACTGACTGAGGTTAATTTAATAATAATAATAATAATAATAATAATAATAATAATCTATAATAATAAAAGCATAGCCGAAACCGGTTTGGCTCAGTGGATAGAGCGTCGGTCTGCGAACTGAAAGGTCC